ATGGTAAGGCGTCGGGGCCGGATGGAGTCCCCAATGTATTATTCAAGGCTGCGGTACGAGCGAAACCACACATATTCGTGGATATATATAATACCTGTTTTACTGAAGGTATTTTTCCAACGCGATGGAAGCTGCAACGACTGGTACTGTTGCTTAAACCAGGAAAACTACCTAACCAACCATCTGCATATAGGCCTCTATGTATGTTGGACACAATAGGGAAGGTTTTTGAACGAATAATAAGTGAACGTCTCCAGCAGTATCTGGAAGGTCCCAATGGCCTTTCTGATAAGCAGTACGGTTTCCGGCGGGCTAGATCAACGGTAGATGCGATTAGAACGGTAACAAATATTGCAAAGGAAGCTACCAGCGGAGGATATACTGCAATGAAATACTGTGCAGTCATCACGCTAGACATTAAAAATGCTTTCAATTCAGCAAATTGGTCTGAGATACTACTGGCACTCAAAACTCTGAAAGTACCTGATTATTTGGTACGCATTATTTGCAGTTACTTTAACGATAGAATACTGCAGTATGACACAGAAAAAGGTAGAAAACAATATGAGGTCACTGGCGGGGTTCCACAAGGATCAGTTCTTGGACCCACATTGTGGAACGCTATGTACGATGGAATCCTGAAAATAAGACTTCCAGATAAAGTGACAATAGTTGGATACGCTGATGACATCGCACTAGTGGTGGTTGACAAAAAGCTTGATCACTTAGAAGCAAAATGTAACGATGCAGCAGCAAGAGTACAACGATGGCTTAAAAATGCAGGACTGGAGTTGGCGGTGCAAAAAACAGAAGCAGTACTGATAACCGCAAGAAAGCAGAAAAAGAAGATGAAAATCATAATTGGCGGGCATGAAATATTATCACAAGAAGCAATAAAATACCTTGGAGTCATAATCGATGCAAGACTGAGCTTCAAACAACACCTTACAGCAGTAAGCTCTAAGGCAGCGGCAGTGAATAGTGCATTAACGCGAATTCTTCCTAATACAGGTGGTCCTCAGGGCGAAAGAAGGCGTCTTTTATCTACTGTAACGGACTCTATTATATTTTATGCTGCTCCTATATGGGCAGCAGCAAAAAAGCATCAGCTACGTCTGGTAGCACAAATATACAGACGCAGTGCGTTACGGGTTGCCTGCGATTATAGAACAGTCTCTGATGATGCAATCTGCGTCATTGCTGGAAAAATACCAGTTGACATACATGCAAAAGAGTTAAGCCGTCTTTATGGCAGGCAAGGCATAACACCTACGATAGATCAAAAATCTGCCGAACGCGCATATTCATTTAGAGAATGGCAGCAAAGATGGGAGCAGTCCTCTAAGGGACGTTGGACATATACATACACTTATACCTAACATTAAGGAATGGGTGTTAAGAAAACATGGTGAAATTGATTATAATCTGACTCAAATATTGAGCGGCCACGGAGGCTTTTTAGAATATCTCTACAGATTTCATCTGTCAGATAGTCCATACTGCCCAAACTGCCACAACATCGTAGAAAGTGCAGAACATGTAGCCTTTAGCTGCGAACGGTTTAATGAAGAACGGAAAATACTTGTGGAAGCCCTAGGATATCTACCATCTCCTAACAGCATTGTGCACGAAATGTGCTCAAGTAGCTTTAAATGGAAGGCAGTTAAAACATTCGCAACTCAAATTATGCGGCGTTTGCGACTGCAGGAAGAGGAAAGAAGAACAGCTGCAGTGCATGTATCACTGCAACGATAATGGATGTAATGAAATGACGACAAAAACTGACGTTTGAGCTTCGTGCTCTGGACGGCCTCTTGACGAAATACCAAATCGGTGATAACGAGAGGACTAACCGTCGGACATCGGGGTGACTTTAGTGAGTTAAAGTCTCGCACTGACTAGGCTTTCGATGCTTTACACCTCGTTAAAAAAAAAAAAAAAAA